TACTTCTAGTGAACACATTGCCCGGGTTGAATCTGCCAATTTAGTACAAACCCTCACACCATCTGCACGCGCCACCACAGCAGATGCACTGGGTGTACGCGCAACCGTACGTTACAAAGTACAAGAAGCCGCTGCCTTTTTACTCAATAACGCAGACCCTGAAGCAACACTCGCACAAATTACACAAACCACACTGCGTACACTTTTTGCTACACGTCCAGCCAATAGCACCGCACCCAATAACCTTATTGCTAATCCAGCTTCTGTCGCTTTAACTGGCAACACGGCCGCACTAGCACAAGCATTGACAGCATCTGTACAATCTCAACTCAATCTCTATAAAACAGGCATACAGATCAGCAGCATAACGCTAGAGGGCATGCAGCTTCCTGGAGTTTTGCGTGGCCACTTAGAAGAAAATGCAAAGAGTATTCTTGCAGAGCGTGATCGCCAAAAAAATATCGCGCAGAATGAAGCTAAAGCCCAACTGGCACGTACACGTATTGCATTAATTAAAATCGATGAAAATGCACAACGCTATGCCTGGCGCGCAATTGCACAAGCTAAAGCAGACGCTGAACGTTTTAAGCGCCTGTTACCTGCTTATAAAAAATCACCTTCTGTAGTACGCGAGCGCTTATATCGAGAAACCCTGCAAGAAATCTATAGCAAAGCTCCCAAGGTATGGATCAATGGAGCGCCCATAACAGGCAATGCAGGTAAAAATTGGGCAGGCCCTATCATTTCGCTCTCGATGCAAGCGCCTTCCCAAAAAACAGAACCCTCCTCGAATACGCCAAAAAATGGTGAGACTATCGAGGGGCAAAGCAAAAACCGCCCTATTTCCGCACTGCCCACCAGTACAATGTCTTCCACACCCTCAGTCGAATCAGAAACACGGCAAGATATAGGTCGCAATAACGCGCCACTTAAAGAAAGTTCGGTACTAGAAAATGCACTATTTCCACGTACCAAGGAAAGCCTACGCACTCGCGAGCGCGATGCCTAAATTTAGCCACAGCATAGCTGCCCATAAAGAACCGAAATGAAAATAGCAAAAGCAAATCGACTGGCTTCCTGTGTAGTAGCTCTAGCACTATTCTTAGGGATAGGAGCGGCATCACTATTTTTTGTAGTTGATCAACGAGAATACGCAGTCGTCTCCAGTATAGGCGGCGTGAAGCAAATCATTCAGGCTCCAGGCTTGTATATGAAATGGCCTGCCCCTCTCGAGCGCGTAGCGTTTATCGATAAACGCACGCAAATGGCAAGTCCGCCAGAAAATATACGTTTTGAAACACGCGACAAAAAAAGCGTAGCACTCGACGTATATATTAGATGGCGTGTTACTGACCCCCATCTCTATTTTCTAAGCTATCACCAAAATACCGTATTGGCAGAAAATGCCCTACGCGCAGGTATACGTGCGCAGCTCACTCCTCTTTTGGCACAACATACCTTGCTTAGCCTTGCCAATATAGATTACAGCGCGCTTGCCGATACGGTTCGCACACAATTTCAAAAAGAAAATGCTTCTGCACCAAAACGACTGGCTAACCAGATCGCCAGCGATACATCCAATAGCTATAAAGGCATTGAGATTCTGAACATCTACCTGCAACGTCCTGATCTGCGCGCGCAAGCTATACAGTCACGCGACCAAGCAGCAGCGGGTGAGCGTGCACAAATTGTAGAAACGCTACGTGCGCAAAGCGCTGCAGAAATTGAAGCCGTGCAATTTGACGCCCTGCGTGAACGTGAACAAATCATGCTCGATGCCTACGAACAGGCCCAAATTGTTGAAGGAGAAGGAGATGCGCAAGCAGCTGCAATAGAAGCAGAGGCTGCTCGCAGTGCGCCTGAATTTTATGCATTCTATAAAAACCTTCGTGCACTACAACGCAGTGTGAATGAACAAGACGTACTACTCGTTGACCCTGTGTCGAGCTTCAAAATACAAGGAAAAAGCGAGGCGCAAGCAACACCCAAAAATCGGTAGGTTGGTGGTGACAAAGGAACCCCAACATGCAGGCCGCTGCGTCCTCGATAACCTGCTTACAGATTATCTAAAAGCAGACAATTAAAAATCAGCGGTATGCATGTTAGGGTTCGTACCTCACCACCAACCTACCGAGTATTTATGCAAAAAGGTTCTATCGCATCCCATCAACCAAAAAAGTTTTCTGCATGCCCTTCCCTCAGCCTGCTTGGCTCTTGCCTGAACATATCGCAGATATTTTGCCGCCTCAAGCGCAAAAAATTGAAGCGTTGCGCCGCCGATTGTTAGACCAATTTCAATCTTATGGCTATGAGCTAGTCGCGCCCCCTTTACTTGAATACATAGAATCCCTCTCTAGTGGAGCAGGCCAAGATTTAGAGGGATGTACCTTTAAGCTAGTCGACCAACTCTCAGGCCGTATTTTAGGTTTGCGTGCCGATATGACGCCGCAAATATCACGCATCGACGCGCATGTCTTAAATCGCGCAGGAATTTCGCGCCTCTGCTATGCGGCAAGTGTTGTACAAACCCACCCAGCAGGGCTTTTCTCAACCAGAGAACCCTACCAAGTGGGTGCCGAGCTTTATGGATATGCGGGTCTAGAAGCCGATGCAGAAATTCAACAACTTTTAGTAGAAAGCCTAGCCATAGCTGGGTTAAAACCGGTTCGCCTCGAAATATCACATGCAGCCATCGTGCCAGCGTTGCTAGCTAGCGCACCACAAGCACCCGCTTTAGAAAACGCTTTATTTGAAGCCTTAGCTGCAAAAGATCTGCCACGCGTACAAAGCTTGAGCGCATCACTGCCCGCAGACCTCCGAAAAAGCTTACTCGCACTGCCTACCCTATATGGAGAAGTCAACGTACTCCAACAAGCGCGCGCTATCTTGCCAACTTCACCAGAAATCACGCGTGCGCTAGATGACCTCACACAACTCACCTGCTTTGCACAAAGCCTGCCTGATGTAGACGTGATGATCGACCTAGCCGATTTGCGAGGCTACCGCTATCACAGCGGCGTCATGTTCTCCGCCTATATTGAAGGCATAGCCAATGCAGTAGTACGAGGTGGCCGCTACGACAACGTGGGCGCTCTATACGGAAGAGCACGAGCTGCCACCGGGTTTTCTCTAGATCTGCGTGAAATTACACGCCACTTGCCCTCCGAAGCCAAAAAATACGCCATTCGAGCCCCCTGGCCTACCCTGCAATCTACCGTACCACCCAGTAATGCGGTAAAAACTGCAGAATCTAGCCCAGGCGTTGCCCTGCCCCAACCCCCTGATTTACAAGCAACCATTACAGCCCTTCGGGCCGCAGGCGAAATTGTTATCCAAGGCCCTCCCACGCAAGAACCCGATCATGGGCACGGTCATGGACGCAGATTCATCTGTGATCGAGAGCTCATTGAGCAAGACGGCCATTGGCAAGTTAAACGTATTTAGGAAAGCGATTACAGAGTGCATCGGATTATATTATTAACCCTACTCTGCATCACACACTCGACAAAGCTGGATAAATCTATTATTTAATCAGCATTTCATTAAGCAGTTATTTATTCTTTAAATTTTTTATATGTCCCTTATTCTTCACAAATATGGCGGCACTTCGATGGGTTCCGCCGAGCGCATCCATAACGTAGCCAAGCGCGTAGCAAAATGGCATCGAGCAGGCTATGAGCTGGTGGTCGTACCTTCAGCCATGTCTGGAGAAACCAACCGTCTCTTCGGCCTAGCCCACACACTGACACCCAACCCCTGCCCACGCGAACTCGATATGCTGTGCGCAACAGGGGAACAAGCTAGTTCTGCGCTACTGAGCATAGCCCTGCAAGCACTAGGCGTACCAGCCGTGAGCTATACAGGCTGGCAACTACCCGTGCGCACCAATAACGCCTATACCAAAGCGAGTATTCAATACATCGAAGGCGCTCGCGTACAGCAAGACCTAAAAGCGGGTCGCGTCGTAGTAGTCACAGGCTTTCAAGGAGCCGACAAAGAAGGCAATATCACCACGCTAGGCCGTGGCGGATCTGACACCTCAGCCGTCGCACTAGCAGCCGCATTACAAGCCGATGAATGCCTCATTTACACGGACGTTGACGGTGTTTACACCACAGACCCCCGTGTAGTTGACGAAGCCAGACGTCTGCACTGCATTACCTTCGAAGAAATGATAGAAATGGCCAGTTTAGGCTCGAAGGTCTTACAAATCCGCTCGGTGGAACTAGCAGGTCGCTACCACGTCAAAACACGCGTGCTATCCAGCCTAACTGACCCCAACATACCCCTAGAACAAGAACGGCAATCCGGCACGCTAATTACCTTTGATGAAGGCGAAATGACTGAGCAAGTTATGGAACAAAGCAAACAAACCAACATGGAAAAAGCACTTATTTCTGGAATTGCATTCCATCGTGACGAAGCGCAAATCGTCGTAGCTGGCGTACCAGACAAACCCGGCATCGCCTACCAAATCCTCCACCCCATCGCTCAAGCCAATATCGATGTGGATATGATCATCCAAAATCAAAGCACAGAAGGCCGAACCGACTTCACCTTTACAGTCAGTCGAGGCGACTATGCACAAGCCTTATCTATTTTAGAGCGCTCCGTAAAAGACCAAATTGGCGCCCAATCCATTCACGGCAACGCCAAAGTCTCTAAAGTCTCCGCAGTAGGCGTAGGCATGCGCGCCCATGCCGGCGTTGCAAGCAAAATGCTAGGCGTGCTCGCAGAAAAAAACATCAACATCCGCCTCATCTCCACCTCAGAAATCAAAATTTCTGTTTTGATCGATGAGGAATACATGGAACTCGCCGTGCGTGCCCTACACAAAGCCTTCGAACTAGAAAAAGACCCGAGTTAACGAAATCCTTATCCTAAACACCAAACAAAAAGCGGAATTTATTTGACCCCACACAGCAGCCTCGCTATGATTCGCCCCTCAGCAATAAAATGAGGCTGCAAAAAAACACACGCCATACTGTAGAAGCACCCCCGGAGACGTGGCCGAGAGGCTGAAGGCACTCCCCTGCTAAGGGAACATGTGGGCTTAACCCTGCATCGAGGGTTCGAATCCCTCCGTCTCCGCCAATTACCCCCAACACCCAGCAACATCCCCCTTCCAAATAAACCGAAAACCCTTGTAGAATAAGGGCTTTCCGGCATTTCTCGTCTTTAACTTCCAATCGAAAATAACGTAACCCAATGCAGCCAAACAGATATTTCGTAGGCATCTGTGTAGGTATTTTAAAAAAAGGGGATTTAGCATGCCTACAAATAAGCTAACTGATGTTAAATGTAAGGCCGCCAAGCCTGATGAGAAGGACTACAAACTATTTGATGGAGGGGGTCTTTTTTTATGGGTATCGCCTAAAGGTGGTAAAACTTGGCGTATGGCTTATCGGTTTAAGGGTAAGCAGACCTAGCAAAAAATGCATGCATCAACAATGCAGCCATACCGTATCTGCCACAAGGCAGAAACAGCACATATCACACACAGAAAATATGCCAAAAGCAAACAAAATCTAAAACCAAGCCCGCCTGTTTCCTATAAACATAATGTTTTATATTTTAGTGCGTATATTCCTATAAAAATCTACGCACAATTAAAAATAGTCATTATTTCACACCACCTATACATATTTTTTGCGCTTTTTATTAAAAAATTTTCAATAATGAAATTGAATTTTAATTATTTTACACCATTTAGTTTCTTATATTTTTTAATATAACCATTAATTTTATATTCCGATACATCTATTGCGCTTACCACTAGACTTTTTGTAAATCTTTTGTTATTTTCAAAAAATTTACCGATTATTTCATATTTATTATCATTCTCTACCAAAGGATTGTGGCATTCTTTTTTAAGAAAATTAATTGCTTTAACTCCGTCTGCACCATATTTTTCTTCAATTTCTTGCATAACATAATCAGGATACCTTTTTGCATTATAATTTTGGAGACCATTAAAAAATTCATATTTTGATATACCTATTGCGCTTGCCACTTGCAGTTTGTTAACCCGTTCCCTTTTTACAAATAATTGTTCACCTTCACAAAATTTCCCTATCACTTCATATCTATCATCATACGAAGTAGATAGCCACTTGTTCTTAAAATCAGTAAGTCTTTCCTTCTTCGTCTTATGTTCTGCTGTATGAGTGTACTGTAAAGCATTTTGATCTATTTCATCATGCAGATTGGTAGATACATCATTATGATTCGGTAGTATTAATTGAGTGCCTGTGTATCCTGCACTCAAGGAATATTCACTATACGAAATAGGTTGGTTTATCTCTGATTGATGCGAATGAATAGTACTGAAGTCTTCTACTTCTTTAAAAAGACGCGTAAGTATATCCCCTACACTTTCTTCTTGCACAGATCGTGAATCAAGCTGTCCTGACTCGAGTGGGCAGGTACTCGATTCATTAGGCATATAGCACGGCGAAGAAAATTTTAATCTTTTCTGCGTTACCTGGTTATGCTGATCAAAAGAACTCTCATGCGCTCGCTTATTGCTTTTTAAAGAGACAGGAGTGCTTGGTAATTGACCATGGTATATATTGTATTGTGTACGTGGTTGGGATATGGATACTGGAGACGGAAGAAATCCGTTAAATGCGGCACTTGTCCCTTTACTATGCTGGTGGCGGGATGGAATGTGTTCAACAGTAGAAGAAAACGACTGCATATTCTGTTCTTTGGAAACAGACACTGGGGGCTTAAACATGATGCGCGCACTCTATAAATATTTATGTCATTTAATAGGAGACTGTTTTACAGTCAACATGTATTTATCTCCTATTAAATACGATAGCGTGCGCCATCTTCACACATTTTGCGTAATCTCCTACTATAAAACGAAACGCGCCCTCTTCTGTAGCGCACTGCCTCTCTGTTTTTCTTTTGTCTAGCGCATACAAAATAATTAAAATTTCTATAAAAATACCCCAGTAATTGAAATAGAGCGCACACTTCCTTTTGCAAAGAATCTTTTACTCTGCAACACGCAGACTGAATCGCTGGAAGCCGAGCATCAGATGCGGCAGCTGTGAGTTAAAAAGTAAAATTGCCCACCGCAATGCCGGGGTCGCGTCCAGTAGCGCTGTGAGCATTCATTTTCCCGTGTGGTGTGCGGGATTGGATCTAACTTTTTGTGGTAGGCGCAAAAAAATGGCCCTTTTATAATTCAAAGGGCCATTTTATGGGATATATTTTAAATAGTTAACTAGGCTATAAGGGCTTGAATAGCCGCCTGTCTACTTTCAAGCGTTTTTACCTTTTGTTCGAGCTTTGTAGCATGCTCTACCAAGGCTTTAATCTTCGCGTTTCTTTCTGCTTTTCTTTGCGCCCTTGCTGCTTTCAGTTGCGCTTTTTCTTCTACTGTTAGCACTTCATCAGATTCTGATTCTGAATCAGAAGAAAGGAGTTCCTCAATATTAGATTCTTCAAAAATAGTAGGTTCAGCCCTTCCTTTACCTTTAGAGGATGAAGCATGGTGTTGAGCAAAGGAGCTATCTTCCTCTTCTATTTCAGGACTAGGAAACCGCCCAATAATGGGAGAGGCAGAGGCACTCGAGGAATATGAAGTTACTGAACCAAATGAAGTTTTACGTGCTCTTGGCTGGTAATTGAGAAGTATTTTCGCTGATTCTTGTCCTTCCTGAGAAAGGGTAATGGCTGGTCGCGTTGACGAAGCCTGCGCTAAAAGCAGCTGCTGTTCAGCGGGGAGAAGGGACCTTGGGTCGATAATATTAAATTGTTGGACGTAGGTAATATTATTATGATGATGTCCCCCAATAATTTGCCGAGGGGCATGGATCATTTCTTCTTTTAAGCTTTGAACGCCCCTAGAAATGTCATCACGTATACCCTCTATACGCGCTTGCACTTCTTCTTGAAAATCTTCCACAGTAGTGGCAAAACGAGCGTGTGATTCTTTAAGTTCTTCTGTATTGGCTTGTACTTGAGCTTGTACCTGATTTAGCGCAGCTCCTGCCGTCTGTATGTTTTCTTTTACAGACCCCATATCTTTTTTTATTTCACCAGCCTGTTTGAGCGAGTCATGGTGTAGGCTAATTGCATTGTTTTGCAGACCGAGGATCGTTCTAGTATTTCCTAAAATCTCGCTTAACATAGCATTTAAACTTTTCATAAAAGGGATAAAAAACTCGGCGTCTAGTTTACGCGCGTATTCGGTTCTTGCATTATATCGGAGGGAAATATATGCAGCACTCAAAGTAATGGAGAGCATCGTAATAGTAGCGATAATTGGAATACCAAAGGCCAAGAATGGGGTGCTAGTAATTAAACCAATAGCAATAAAGTGCTGTGTTAACCCCGTCAACCCACCTACCACGCTCATCGTAGTACCCACCACTATAGATGAGGTAAAACCTTTCTCCACATCAGACTTAGACTTGTTAGCCTGCGCCACTGTATTTTCATGCGCTTTTTTTACTTTTTCTACCAAGCCCATTGTCTCAGGCGTGCATTGAGGCCTTTGAATATTTCGTTTGCGTTCTAGGTTGGTATGTTCTAAATCTACTGCTTCCTCTTGGGCGTCTATTTCTGGTTCTGGTTCTGCCTGTTGAAATTCTATTTTTTCCGATTTTTGGCACTCACCATTCCAACAGCGATACATTACTTCTTGGACTTCAATCGAAGGTTTTTCTTTTTCACCTTTTGCATATTCGCGGATCTGCTCAAGAATGCGGCGATGGTTAGCAAGCGGTTCATGGGCCCCCAGAAAAAGCGCCTCTTTCACTTTTCGCTCTTCTTGAGAGAGGAAAAGAGTATCAGAAACCCTTTCAAAGAAATGGCTCTTACCTGGCGCATACTTCCTAGGAAGTAACGTTTTTAAAGTATCAAAAAGCCCATTCTGTGTGCCGATAGCTTCTTCTATTTTTTCACAAGGCAAGCTCACGAAACGCACTGAAAGGGGAGTGACAAGCATATTCATAGTAAACCCACCTTCACACCTAAAGACTAGGGATTTCGTATCCTGATACTGTTTGTGCAGGAAATATAGAAGCGGATACCGTATATGTGAGTCCTATAAACGCTGTATTTATAGAGTCCTTCTTACATGCGAGTGGTTTGCCATAGCAGCTTTCATGTCAAAGATCAGGCTGCTGCTCTACTCTGCATTCGTGCGCGCTCGATGACCATTTGCACCATCTCTTGTGCGCGCTCTTCGACCGCCCAATCAGATGCAATCTTGGGAGAAAGGCTATGCAATGGATCGGGATAAACGAAAAATTTTCCTGGTCTCACACTAGAAGAAGAAACCTAATTGGTTATTTTTATTCAGTTCCTAGCGTTTCTAATATGAATTAATCAAATAGCACGGTAGGTTGGGGTGACGAAGGAACCCCAGCATGCAAACCACCGCATCCTTGGAGACCTGCTTATACATGGCCTAAAAGCAAAAATTACAAGTCAGTGGTTCGCATGTTGGGGTTCGTGCCTCACCACCAACCTACGCCTATCGCGAAGGTATGAGGTTAACGATACAAGCGTAGTATTTTTAAGTGGAAATACTCCTAAGCAATGTGCAAAGCTGTGATGCAATTACTTAATCTTGCAAGCAATGTGCTTGGGCGAAATGCTTGTTTTGATAGTTTATAAAAAGCAAGTTGTGCATGTTGCGTGCGTACATTGAGTACCCATGTCATACAGTTTATGATTATCTTGCTCTACGCTTTCTGAGTAGGTTGGATAATTTTAAAACCACGGCATTACTTTATTTGTCAGTTTTTTGTATTGCCATGCAACAGATTTTTTATACAAAATCCGCTTCATATCTTTTTTATAACTGCTTTTAGCAAAAGCAACCACTATGGTTTCAGCCTGCTCAGAGGCATTTTTTGACTTACCTTTTTCATTATTTGAAGGTACACATATTTCTGCGGGAATCCTGCTAGTCATCCCTCCATCTTGATAGGGTGCGCCACTGTACCAGCAGACTATTCCAGGCTGCGTACGGTATCGCTTTAGTCAAAAAAATAATTATTCGTTTTACTATAAAATAGTTCGCAAACATAAGCAATCTCTTTTCAAATATAAAGTAGATTTATAAA